ATATCTTTCTTAGGTTTCCTCCTCTCCTTCTACTTTTCTCACTCCTTGCTCTTCTTTTTTTTTTTAAACTTAGATTTCTCCTCCTATTTATTCTCTGCCTGCCACCCCTGCCTATCCTTTTTCCTGTCTATTGACCGATAAGCTCTTTATTAGACCAAGTATTTTAAGCAGGCAAAGTAGCACAGCTTTACAGAGTTAAACAAATGCAATAACAAAGAATGCAACACATCTTTGCATCATTAAATTCTACAGCATAAAAGAAAGTAACACTCTTCATTTCTGATCCTCCATCTGTGGTGGAACCACCACCAAGATGCGGATTTTCGTGAGGAACCTTACAGGGAAGACTATCACACTTGAGGTTGAAACCTCGAACACTATAGTAAATGTAAAGGCCAAAGTCCAGGCTAAGAAAGGATTCCCTCCTGACCATCAGAGGCTGACTTTTGTGGAATAATGGTCTGGGGGGGGTGGGATGGAGCTCCGTTAGCACCCCCCCAAAGTGTCTAACTCCTTGGTGAGGAGTGAGATCTCATGTGCCCTTCTTTTTAGTAACTGTTAACTGTGCATCTTTGAGAAGGGGGTTCCTGAGTTGCTTCCCTCCCACAAGGGAAAGCTAATGAGCCCAATCTTGTGCAGATCTCCTGCAGCTAATCACTGCTGCTGCTGAGTCAGGAGGGCCCTTTTTCTCTTGCACCAGTGGGCACATCTTTCCTGGCAGGATAATGGTGAAGTACACAGAATTCAGAGCCATCTTTCCTGGCAGGATAATGGTGAAGTACAGAATTCAGAGTTGAGCAGAACTCGCATCAAGTCCTCTGGACCACAAGAGCTAGCCAGGGAGGGGAGGGGTTTCCAGCTCAACCCCAGCTGTGACATCTTCAGCTGTAGGATCTTATTCTCCAATTCTGGAACGCAAGCAGTGTAACATGAATAAAAAAACCTAGAGACAGACATTGGGGTTCAATCAGAAAATCAGAAAAGCAAAGCAGCCAGCCAGTAGCTCTTACCTCCACCAAGGCTGGAATGGAGGTCCTGTCTTCCCTGTGACTAGAAACAGAATCTCCCATGAGATCCTTTGCTTCTTCCTTATATACCTCTCTAGTGCTGGGATTAAAGGTGTGAATTCTGTTACTCTTTTAGACTGATTCACTCTCATGTAGCCCTGGGTGGTCTTGAACTCACAGAGATACATCTGCTTCTGTCTCCTGAGTCCTGTGATTAAAGTTGTGTGCTACCACTGCCCAGCTTCTGTGGCTAACTAGTGTGGCTGACTTTGCATTCTGGTTCCCAGGCAAGCTTTATTAAATCATATACAATGTATCAACACAAAGCAGCATAAGTGTCAATAGCCTTTATATTTTCTGGGGCCTCTGAGATCTCTGTGGCCAACAACTCATAGGGAGGTAACCCACTCCTGTCTCTGGGGTTTTCATTTAACACTTTATGACTTTTCTCACTTCTAGATGAGTTTCCAAATCTGTAAGACACGAAGAGGCACAACTCACATAATGAAACCTTTTACGTTTCATAGGGTACACAGGGTCTCTGAAAGCACACACCCTATCTATTCCAGTAAGTGAGCAGTTAGGGAGACATTAAAGAGAAACATTAGCACAGCCTACTACAACACAAGAAGATTCAATAGCTTGCTTGTGTTGTTTTGTCAAAAGGTCCATCCATGTTGGGTATGGTAGTGGGAATAGGAGGTACTGACTTAGCTTGTCTTCTTCAGTCCATAGTCACTATCCATGAGCCCTTTTACCTCCTTATCCTGGGGTGCTGACACTGCATCTCCCCCTGCTCTAGCAGCTTTGGTGCAACTGTGCCTACTCATACGCTGACTGGCCTAGGGCCAAGGGAAAGGTTTCTGAGACAGTGCTGCAGCTGGCTGTCTCCTATATATAGATTGTCCACAAGTGGGTACTGAGGAGGTGTCTTAGCATTTCTATTGCTGTGAAGAGACACCATGACCACAGCAACTCTTACAAAGGAAAGCATTAAACTGGGGTGGCTTTCAGTTTCAGAGGTTCAGTCCATTATGACACTGTGCATGGCAAGCGTGCAGACAGATGTGGTGCTGGAGCTGAAAGTCCTACATCTTGCAAGCAACAGGAAGTCAACTGTGTCACTGGGTGTGGCTTGAGCCTATATGAGACCTCAAAGACCACCTCCATGGTGACATAGCTCCTCCAACAAGACCACACCCACTCCAACAAGGCCACACCTCCTGATAGTGCAGTTCCCTTTGGGGGCCATTTTCTTCCAAACCATCACAGAAAGCCTTTGGCTGAGCTAACAATTTCCACCCCCCACTATACGCTCTTTCATTGAACTTTTGTCAGGGTTTAGTCTTCTAGAGGCTCATAAGCAATGGATTTGTCTGTCAGTCTTTTTTATCCTCCTTAGAAACTCCAACTCAACGCAAATCTTCCCACATTTGCTTTCAAGTTACACAGATAGATCTTTGTCTGCTCTTTCTTTTTCTATCCTCTTTGTCTGTTTTTATACGAACCTGACTTACATGCCTCTGTAAAACCTGCCGAAGCCTGTTACCTGAATGACCCTCTTGTACCATGAAGCTCAGCGACACCACTAACGCCCCACACCAGTCCTAAGGGCCCTGGTAGATCAACCCCCTTCTAATGCTCCAGTAAACACAGTCCTGTTTAGCACAGTGAACTGGGCGTCAGACACGTCCTCTCTCGTGCACAACACATCGGTAATGCCTATGCCTCCACATAAGTAATGCCTATGCCTCCTCTGTTTTTCTCCAGTCCCTGATGCTCACAGGAACCACAGTTGACAATAACAGGGACTTCAGCTCATATGCACCAGCCCAAAGTGGCTGATTTTCCTCATATTGCCCCAGATTTCAGCCTTTGTCTTAAAGAGGAATGGGTAGTTATATTACTCAGTTGCTTCATTTACACAGCATTCAGACCTATCCCAGTTGTCCCCACGTGGTGGAACGACCTTTTTGGACACTGTGAAGATGTGTTGCTCTCACTGGTTTAATAAAGAGCTAAATGGCCAATAGCTAGGCAGGAAGAGGTTAGATGGGGCGTGCAGACAGGGAGAGAGTGTGGGGATGGAGAAGGGTGGAGTCACTAGGAGACTCAGAGGGGAGCCAGTCAGACATGAGTGATTTGGACACACAAAATGGGATAGAGATAATAAAGCCCCATGACAGCAAGTAAATTAATAGAAATAGGTTAATTTAAGTTATAAGAGCTAGTTAGAAACAAGCCTGAGCTACCAGCTGAGCATTTCTAGTTAATACTAAGTCTCTATGTGGTCATTTAGGAGCTGGATCAAGGGACAAAATATTCCACCTGCATCCCCATGTCCCACAGTCTACGGGCCACACTGTGAGAGGGTTTCCCATCTGTTGTTTAAAAGTGTCTTCCCAGCAGGGCGTTGGTGGTGCCTTTAATACCAGCACTCGAGAGGCAGAGGCAGGCGGCTCTCTGTGAGTTAGAGCCCAGTCTGCTCTACAGAGCAAGTTCAAGGACATGCTCCAAAACAATACAGAGAAACCCTGTCTCGAAAAAACAAACAAACAAAAAAAGTTTCTTCCCAATTCAAACAGTTCAGAGGCAGAATATTCCCTGGTTATCATCATTTCCTGTATTGAACTATTATTAAGGCCCCCATCTGCATGTTATAGAATGGATTTTCCTTTCTTCTTTATTAAAGGCTAACTTCTATGATTTACACCTCCCTCCCTCCCTCCCTCCTCCTCATTGTTTTATTCTTCCTGAGTCCAGGCTTGGGGATCCCAGCAGGGGCTTTTTTTTTTTTTTTTTTTTTTTTTGGTTTTACGAGACAGGGTTTCTCTGTATTGTTTTGGAGGCTATCGGTCCAGCCCGGCCTCGAACTCACAGAGATCCGCCTGCCTCTGCCTCCCGAGTGCTGGGATTAAAGGCATGCGCCACCACCGCCCGGCCAGCGGGGCTGTTTATCAAGAGTCTGCATTGAACTTTTTCCTTTCCCTGCTAATTTAGAGCTAGTGCAGAAGGTAGCATCCACTCGTCCCTCCTTCATGCATGCTTTTCTGGGCAGATAGTTCAGCCTCAGTTGCATGTCTTAAAGTCCAGAACCAACCTATCCCATCCACGCCACTTTCAGCTTGTGATATATTCTCTGATTTTTCCACCATCCCATACTCATGGGTAGACCCCACTCAGGAAGGCCCGTCACTGCACAGCACAGAGGAAGACAACCAACTAGGAGTCACACAGCGGCTTGAGTCGCACATCTTCACCCACAGTAGACACTGCAACCATAACTGTGGCAAGAAGGCATGGTGGTCCATACCAGGAGGACAACATATTGGGATTCCGTCCATGGACGCTAAACCCTCAGACAGCTTCGCTTCAGCCACATGTCTCGTTCTCACAGCAGAGACAGTGCAAGCAATTCTCTTGAACTCATCTTTGGTTCTGTCAGGCCCTTTGCTCAGGCTCCATGTGTGTGAACTTTTTCTAAGGAGACCCAAACAAACCTCTGCTCACCCCAGATAGAACATCAATGACAGGTACAGAGAAGTACCCAGCGTGGTTTGGTGAACCAATGAGTATGACTGGGTTTTCTCACAGGAGCATGGGAAACTTTGTGGGCAGTTATAGCAATGAAGGAAAAAGTTTCTCTTCCAGCGACTTCTGGGTGGTGGTGGTGCATGCCTTTAAACTTTGCACTTAGGAGGCCAAGATAGACAGATCCTTCTGAGTTTGAGGCCAGCCTGGTCTATAGAGTGAGTTCCAGACAGCCAGGGATATACAGAAAATGCCACTCTGGAAAACCAAACAAAAGCAACAAAAAATTGTCTATAAACCCTTGGGGAGGGGAGGGGTCTTGTGAGCTTTTCTCCTCTAGCAACCTTTCACTGTATAAGTAAACCCTTGTGATGGGGAAGTCCTTCTGTGTGTATGTTTGATTGGTATAAATAAAGCACTGTTGGCCAATAGGAAAGCAAGATAGGTGGGACTAGGAGTCTAGGAGCATTCTGGGAAATGTAGTGAGGAGAATCGTCACCATGCAATCCCAGGGAAGAAAGGACAGGTCAGGAGGGTGTCCTCGGAAAGGTAAGTCCTTATAGAAATATATATTAGTAATTACAAGTTAATAATTAAGTCAGAGCTAGCCATTAAGAAACCATAGCAAACGGCCAACAGTTTCATGATTAATATAGTGCCATGTGTGTTATTTGGGGGTTAAAGCAGGGATGGGACCCAGGCGGGATCCCACAACACCCTTAGGGAGGGGAAGCCTCATGAGCTCCTCCCCACTTCCATGACAGAAAGGGAGCAATCTTATGCGGGCAGCTCTCTTCCCAACAGTCCCACTGCTGGCAGTTCAGGAGGGCAATGGCCACCGCACACCTGGAGGACAGTGTCCGATAACACACCCTACATGTGGACAGTGCCCTTCATGGGCTGGGGTTCCTAGATGACGTAAAAAAGAGAAAGCAAGCTGAGTGCCAGCCTCTCTCTCCCTCTCTCTCTCTCTCTCCTTCTCTCTCTCCTTCTCTCTCCCTCCCTCTCTCTCTCTCCCTCTCTCTCTCCCTCTCCTTGTCTCTCCCTTCCTCTCTCTCTCCCTCTCTCTCTCCCTCTCCTTGTCTCTCCCTCCCTCTCTCTCCTCTCTCTCCCTCTCTCTCTCTCTCTCTCCCTCCCTCTCTCTCTCTCTCCTTCTCTCCCTCCCTCTCTCTCCCTCTCTCCTTCTCTCCCCCTTCTCCCCCTCTCTCTCTCCCTCTCCTTCTCTCTCTCCCCTCTCTCTCCCTCTCTCCCTCTCTCCTCTCCTTCTCTCTGTCCCACCTCTCTCCCCCCTCTCTCTCTCCCTCTCTCTCTCCCTCTCTCTCTCTCTCCCCCCCCTCCCTCTCTAGCCTCCCAGCTGTGGACACAATTCGACCAGGGTGTCACCCTTCCACTGCCGTTGTGGACTGTGAGCCACAGTAAGTGTCCCCTGGCTCCTGTTGCCACCCCTCCCCAGTCAAGCATCTTGTCACAGCAACAACATTCCTATCCAACACCCTGTGTCTGTATCACCTGGCTTTTGGCCCTGTGATAAGGGCGTCTCTCCTCCAATCTGAGAGCCACTCCAGACCTTTGCCTCCCTGTACTGCCGCAAACCCTAACCCTGTGTTTGAGGAGCTCCAGTGAAGGTGCCCATCCAGCTTCACAGACGCTATGTTGCCTGGCTAGCTTCAAACTCCTGATTCTTCTGCCTCATGCGTCTCAAGTACCATGGCCAACTTGGTGTTGTTTAATCTCCACTACCTCTGTATTTTGGTTGCTTAGAAATGTTAAATTGCATTAATTCACTACTCAATTGGAAAACTTCTGGGGGAAAAACAGTTACAAAGCCAAGCTCTAGTGGTTGAATACATTCTACCTCTTCTTGGCATTTGCCTTATTGCCATCAAGGGCCAACGTTTAAGGGTTGTCTTCAAACCAAACTCAGTTAATTATGCAATCACAAAAACTCGGGTTGTTTTTTTCTTTACATTTACCCATTGCAGTGCAGGGAAGCAGATAGTGCTTTTGGTCGCACAATAAAAATAAGATATTGGAGTGAAATTATAGCTCTCTGAGGCTAATTTGGGGGTATGGTTTTAAAATTGTGTTTCCAGGCTGTGGACCTGGGTTTGAATGACTTGAGTTGTCACAGCACTGACCCCAGCATGACGTCTGTGTTTCTTGCCGGTGTTTTCTCCACAGCAGCTCCCATTTGAACTTCAGGTTCCAACTGAGCCCTCAGTTGCCGTCTGATGACCTCTGGACACTTGAACATTTGTTAGTATTTTGCTCTGAGCTTCTTGGTGGGTTGCTCTATAAAAAGCATCTGCCATTATTTCTCTTCTGTGTGGGCTCCCCCTTCAGTTTATTCCATTCATTTTGTTCACAATCTCTCAACACAAAAAAGCTCAATGGAGGCCATGGGCTGACATCCAGTCCTCTCCAATCCGACTAAAGGAACACCTACAGAACCGGTCTTACATCACCGAGGGCTTCTGGGCATTGAGCGGAAGACAGCCACTGTGACCCAGCGCCTCAGAAAACGACCCCGGTTGCTTTCATTGTCTCAGCAGATCCAGGAAGGCAGGTTCAGCTATGAAATCCATTTCAACAGAGCGGAGAAGCCTTGTTAACTTGAACAGCACCTGTGCGCCAGTGTTGTGTCAGCTCCGCTTTTCAGAGAACGTGTAGGTAGGCAATGACTTCATTGCAGATTAACGGCCAGAGAACCGTCCATTGTGAACAGCTGCCAGGGAATTCTGGGGGCCTCACCCCTCACACTGGCATGCGTCCTCCGTCAGCCCATTTGGCACAGACCACCACCATGCCCATTAGATAGGAGCACTGTTTCCTGGAAGCAAAAGGGCAAATTCCTTTCAGCATTCCTTGTGGTTTGAGGAATGGCTCCTCCAAAGGAAGGAACTGAAGTCACCTGACCAGCTCACTCCACCCAGAGTCCCTGACACTGACATATTGTGGGAACATGTAAACTGAGGAAGCTGGGTGCTGCCTCGAAGCATGCTGTAAACACCACACTGTGGACTCCTGCCCAAAGAGCTAGTGCCCTGAGTTGCTGAGGCATGCGTACGCATGTGTATTGTTTTAATTACTGATCTTTTGAGACAGGGTCTTACTGTGTAACCTAGGCTGGCCTTGAACTCACAACCTTCCTGCTTCAGCCTCCTTAGGCAAGAGATTTCAGGCCTACAACATCTGGCCTGGCTTGGGTCCTCTTAGTACAGAGCTTGCTTGACTTGGAACAGCTCAGGTAATTACACGATGAATATAAACACAAGCCTACCAAGAAAGAAGGAGGAAAGTGAGGAAGAGAGGGAGGGAGGAAGGAAGGGAGGAAGTGGTATAACGCTATAGGCGTCCAACAGGTCAAGCCATCCGGGTATTTCTAGCCTAACCTGTGAGTCCTGTTTCTTCTCTCTGCATAATAGTTTGGAAGGAAGGCTCTGATTATCCCTGAACCAGGACCCTGATTTTCAAATCCTCTACAACAGTGTCCTACTCTCGCCAAACAAAACACTGTCAGCCTTAAATGGCTTAGAATGAATCCCCCAGCTGCAGCTGTGGCGTTCAGTTGGTGGTGTTCCTTGCTAAGGCTTGGGAAATTCCATTCAAAGTCCCCAGATTCTTTTAGCTTCCCTTGGCATGCACAGCTTGTAGGATTTAATGTAGCCTAATAGTTTTATTTTTAAAAAAACTATTAAAAAACTACAAGATGTCTGTTATAACTGTGCCTTCCTCAGAAATCACCAAAATTGCCTTTTTCAGGGGCTGTGCTCATGGATCCTAAGAACATGAAGCTCTGGGCTATGATTGACAGCACATAGGGCCATCACCTTCTGGTCAATTCCACTTCTGTCTTCAAATTTGGTGATAATCATTTGATTCGTAAGACTGGACATTCTGGAAAGTTTCTACTCTTCCTTCTAGAATGTTCTTGCCATTCTTGATACTAAGCTTGGATGAAAGGGTTACTCAACACCCACTCCCCAACAGGGCCTTCTCACACGCTATCTTGCTGGATCCTCTTGACACTAGAGACAGCTGTGACCTCCGCTTTACAAACGAGAAAAACAAGGCCCTAAAAGTCAAGGTTCCATCACTGTCTGGCTATGTTGGCTCCAAAACTGGGTGGGGGGTGGCCGATATCTTTCCAGACACCCAACTGCCTCCCAGACTAGAAGTTGTGCTCCTGCCATCCAAGATCAAGAAAGGCTCTTCTTGGAGAGGGTGGAAGGAGGGGAGTGTTGTAAACTCACATAATTGAGGTTTTTTTTCTCTTGAGAAACAAGAGGGGAGGGCTGGAGAGATGGTTCATCAGTTAAGAGCACCGACTGTTCTTCCGGAGGTCCTGAGTTCAATTCCCGGCAACCACATGGTGGCTCACAACCACCTTGAATGAGATCTGATGCCCTCCGCTGGCATGCAGACAGAAGACTGTATACACATTAAATAAAAAAAATATTTTTTAAAAAAGAATCAAGAGGGGATATTTTGAAAAACAAAACCCAAGGGTTGTGTTGTACCCATGAACCTCAGTATTCAGGGAGCTGGGGTAGGAGGTTACCTTAAGTTTGGGGCCAACCTGGGCTACTGAGTGATACTCTTGTCTCAAAACAGCAAAACCAAACACAAACAAACAAAAACCCCTATGGAAAATAGATAAAAAGTTTAACACAGCATTTCTGGGTACATGACCAAACCATGGGCCCATGCTGGGCCTGGTCAAGCCTTCAGCAAGTTGCTCATTTCAACATACCACATCACATTCAGTTACACCTCCCACATCACCAACTCCTCTTTGGCAGGCCCTGGTCCCAGGCTGCTGCGATCAAGGTTAAAATCATCTCTGCAGTGCTATCCACAGTGACAAGGTGAGGTCTCTCACCACCACCCAGGGGTTCATGTCTAGTCCTGTTCAAGAAGAAGAGGCTCCAACATAGAGGCCACAGGGAGCAGAGGCACCTCAGCATCTCTATCATAGCTCCCCTGGTAAAAACACAGGCTCGCACCAGCAGGCTGGCTGAGGGAAAGGCCCCCAAACTCCTGCTGAGCTTCCTAGCATCTCCACTTGTCCATTCCCTTTGTTCAGTCTGGTTGCTTGGCCAATGGCCTTGTAGACGCCACCTCCCCCTTCCTCTCTTCGCATAGGTGGTTCTTCCAAGAAGTCAGCTTGTTCCCCTCTCTGCTGCTTTCCCCAGACAAGGATGCAGGGGACCAACTGAGTTTGAGGGATGGAGGAACCCGGAAACCGAGAGGGGGCAATAACATTCCAGGAAACATGCTGACAGCCTTCAGAAAGATGGCTGGGCCTGGTATCCACCAACCTCAGATGGGCAGGTGTCTTAGTCTGTTTTGGGGGGGGGATTTGTTGTTGCTGTTATTCGTATGTGTGTGAGTGTATCGTGTGCCATGTGTGCAGGTGCCTGCAGAGGTGGTAGGAAGGTATTGGACCCTCAGAACCGGAGTAAGCACCCTTAATCGACGAGCCATTTCTCTAGCTTCCTATTCGTGTTCTTCCACAAAATTCTAGAGCCTGATAATTTATAAAGAAATTCGTTTTTCACACTGGTCTTGAAAATCCAAAATCAAAGCGCCAGGACCTGCCCACGGCCCCTTGTTACATCTGTCATGGTGAAAAGGAATCACAGTAGCCTGCTGTACTTGATACAAGCTAGAGCACCTGGGAAGAAGACAGTATCAACTGAGGAATTGCCTATATCAGATTAGCCTGTGGGCAAATCTGTGGGGATAGTTTCTTTTTATTTTCAAAGGCTTATTATTTATTTGTTTGTTTGTTTGTTTAGCATGTAGAGGTGTTTTGCCTGCAAGTACAGGTACCATCTGTGTGCCTGGTGTCAGCAAAGGCCAGAAGAGAGCACCTGGCGCCCTGGGAGTGGCGTTCCAGATGATTGTGAGCCACCAGATGGGTGCTGGGAACAGAACCTGGATTCTCTGCAAGAGCAGCCAGTGCTCTCAAGCACTGAGCCATCCATCTCTCCAGCCTGCGGGGCACTTTCTTAATTCATGATTGATGTGGGAGAGTCTCCTTGACACAGGGTCCTAGGTTATAGAAGGAAGCGGACTGAGGGAGCCATGGAAGGCAAGTCAGGAAGCTTCCTGAAGACTCTGCTTCAGTTCCTGCCACGAGTGCCTCCATCATAGACTGTAAGCTGTAAAACAAGTAAACCCTTTCCTCCCCAAGTGGTTTTCAGCCACCACAGCAATAGAAATCAGACCAATCCACCTGCAGATACAGGATCCCCTTCCGATTCTCATGAGCCCTTATTTCCTTATCTAATCCCAGTTGGTTTCCAAAGGTCCTGCCTCTAAACACCACCAGCAAACACCTTGGAGGATTAGGTTTCCAGCACGTGAGCTTTTGTGGGGATGCATCCAATCATAACCACAGGGGATTTGGTTAACATAAGGTTCCACCACTGCCCTTCAGGCTCACCGATCGCTCACTCAATGAAGTCTTGGAGTGGTGGTCTAGCAGATGGCTTCTATATGTGTCTTATTTCATCAGTGTAGTTTTCTCACAGGGAAAAGCAAGTTTTCTTACTTTTCTCTTTCTCTTTTTTTTTCAAACTTGTAGGCTAAGCATTTGTGCATAAGTTCAGTCCCTGGGTACATCCTGAGCTACACAGTAAAGTGGGTGGGGATCCCCTTCCTGTTCCCTGGTCTCCCCCACATCGTGTTGATCTTGCCTCAATGACTCTTCCTCCCATTCATAGTTCCTCCACGCCTGCTGTCATTGCTCTGGAGCAGAGGTTGGCAAACAGATAACAAATATTTAGGCTTTTATAAGCCATATGGAATGTGTTGCAATTGCTCTGCTGTAGACAGAAAGCAGCCACAGGAGATATGGAAGTGAATTATGTGGCCTCGTTCCAGTTACAGCTTGCCTCATGGCACTGCAATATGGATTGCGCATCCTGTTCATGGGTCATGAAATGCTTTTCTTCTTTTTGATTTTCTTCTCCCATTAACTTATAAGTAAATAACCCATGTGCTATATAAAACAGACAACAGGCCAGACTTGCTCCATGTGCCCTTGTGATGGGTGGGCCTATCTTCCAACATGCATATATTGGCACCCTAACCAAAATATGACCTCAAAATGTGACCTGTTTACAGATAGGATCTGTGTAAATGCAGCTGCCCTGAAGTGAAGCCGTCAGAGCAGGCCTTCATGAAGCATGACTGGTCTCCAGATACAAAGCCGTGTGTGTGTGTGTGTGTGTGTGTGTGTGTGTGTGTGTATATGTGTGTGTGTGTGTGTGTGTGTGCAGACACACACAGAGGCCCCAGTCAACGTGTGGAGAAACACAAACGGTGGCCACAGACATGGAGCCAGGGAGAAGAGCCTGAAATAGATTTTCCTCAGTTTGTGGACATGAAGACCATGAAGCAGAAACTGCACTTAATAACCCAAGCCAACAAACGTGGTGGCTCAGTCACACAGCATGCTATGGCAGTACTGTTCCCTTGGTGGCTTCAGGGCTGACCTGGTGTCCCAGATGCTTATCAGCACATCTGACTCTGCTTACATTAGAAGCATATATTTATATTAAAGTATATTTTCACTTAGCTATGAATTACCTAGCTTGCGAGTTAGCTCAGTGCTTAGCTTGAGCAGTGCACATACCTCTCTTGGCAGAACATGCACTTTGTAGGAGAAACTTGGCCTAAGTCACATAATCCTAAAGAGAGATGTGAAGAGAGAAACAGTACCACAGGCCACATAGTCTAGTTTCTCTAAGGTGGCAATCTAGTGGACAAGAAAGGCTGTCCTTCTGGAGGGAATGACACAGAGTGTGGCATTAGTGTCTTAAACACATAAACACCCCCTCTCATTCTTGAGGAGATACCTGAAGTGGACACACACTGCCTCCCTCTGTGCGTACTGCTTTCTCTTCAGAATGCTGTGGTGAATGTAAGTTATGAGGTAAGCACAGTGAGAGACTAGCCACACCATGAGTAAAACACAGCAGCCCTAACTCCACATTGTATGTGTTATGCATGGTCTCTCTCAGAGTGGTTATGGCACAGCAATCCCCCCTTCTTTTCCTTGCCCCCTCCCTCCCCTCTCTTTCCACCCTCCTCTTTTTGTTCTGGTGGTTGAACCTAAGTCATGCTGGGCAAGACCTTTACCAGCTGAGCCATAGCCTATCCTAATTGTCTCTTGAATTTTCCACTTGAAAATCTGGGGGTATGGCTGACTGTGGGAGACGGAGACTTCAGATAGAAAATCTGGGGGTATGGCTGACTGTGGGAGACGGAGACTTCAGATAGAAAGGTGGGACTACTGTGCATTTTTTGCTCACTTTCTCTTCATGGTTTCTAAAGAAATTAAGACATGAAAACATTTCCATGGGTTCCTAACAGCATTGCCTGCTCTGGGTTTGGGTCCCTCTGTCCCTCCAATAAAATAGACAACCCAGGTGCTGTTGGCTTGGCTCAGCCAGCTGTGGCCCTAGATTCTCCCGTGATGGCTACCAAGAAGGAATTGTCTGAAGAGATCTTTTGGGGTGTCCGGCAAGAGTAGACAGGCCCAAGTGAGGTGTCTATGCAAGCTGCAGTGCAGCCGCCCCTCTCCAGGAATGTTCCAGTAGCCCCAACCTAGAATGCTGCTCCCCCTCACTCAGTGCTGCCACCGTCCGTGTCATTCCCTCCAGAAGGCCAGCCCTGACGACCTCTCCTGCCCGCTAGATTGC